CCCCCCCCCCCCCCCCCACCCTTTCCCATCAATTACATGATCAAATTGAATTTATCTGAGTCCAGCTGCCCCAAGTGAAATCACACAAATCTAATAACCATAAAGCTTGATTGATGTCAGCTCCTGATCAAGAACGAGTGTACTCTTAGTCTTTTAGTTTCAGTAAATGAAAAGTTGCCTTGCTTTTTTAAAGACAATTTCGTAACTCCTGATGAAATCCTTAAAAATGCACCTGACACTAACATGATGAAATAGTAACTATTTTAAAGTTTCACTTGAGTAACTAGTAGGCTGCTTGCAAACTAGCCATTGTAATATTAGTATTAGCTTTCTTTTCATGGCCTTGCTGGTCGAACTAAGATGCACATTTTCACTTGGTTACATTAAATATTTTCGAACCTGCTTTGTAAAATAGAAAATAAAATTACCAGTATATATATATACATTTTTAAAAGAAATCTGTTTATATTAAGCTTTCAATTTTTCTTTTTTTTTTTTTTTTTGCGTTTAACCTCAGAAATTTTCACAATTTCTGTGAGTGAAATTTAATTACATCATGCCTCTTTCTTTTAAACATTTTCAGATTTAAAAAAAAAAAGAGTTTAGCACAATTTATTGTCTGATCATTTATTATTTTTTGTTACAATTATTTTAATACTAAAGCCTATGTAGATATTTTATTTATAAAAAAATTTGAACTAGAGATTATTATTACTTTTTAAATTTTAATTATTCTTGCTGCTTACAAATGAAATTTTATAATTTGTATTTTACAATTAATTATCAACCTGTTATTGGATAACACAATTTTAAGTTACCTAGTATATTATTTGGGGCTTCCGCTTGCAATATTTAAAATTTTTATTTTCTCTTAGATGAAGCAGCTTTCACATTTACTTTCCAGACTTTAAAAGAAAAGTAATAAAGATTGACAATTCAGAAAGAAACTTACTTTTATATTCAGCATAGTAATAATAATAGTACCGGTATGTCTGAGATAAATGTTTCATTGGCTGGATTTTGTTTTTTCCAGTGCATATTATAAAGGAATGTGAACCAGCCATGTTATTTTTGCAACATCTAAATGTTTTTAATTATTATCTACATTTTTTAACCAATTAAAGTGTCAACAAATCCCAGAACGTGACATATTTGTTAAGTTCATCATATTTATTGAGGTCATAATTCACCTTCTGCTTCGAGACTTAATTTTTTCCAACACATTGTGTTTAAGTGTGCGCTTGGTGTATACATCTGCCTGGTAGTGGAGACAGTTTAATAGACAAAACCTTATTTATATTTTTTTGGAGTTGAGAGAAATAAATCAAAGGAAATTGCTGAATTTCAGTTTTTTAAACTATTTTTACCCGTGTGTTGCTATGGCATTGTATTCATGTCTTTATCCAGCAGTGTTTCTCAAACTTTTTCCCAATGAAGCAGGGACCAGCCTTCAATATATTTTGGATTTTTAAACGTTTCCTGGAAGGTGACCGAGGGGAGTCACGGGCCAGTCTGCTTTGAGAACACTGTTGTACCTCATAAAAGAAAATCCATTTTAGTACCCAAAGCTTTCCACACAATGCAGCGTTAAATGTCATCGACCTCGCATTTACAGGGCGGTAAAGCTACACAGTTATATAACTAATTTGAGTGAGTAATATTCAAAATTTCAAACACAAAAATGATTACTTTATGGCCATTTTTCAAAATTAAATATTTCAAGGTGTATAAATTTTAATCTATATATATTTTTTACAGTAAAGTTTGGCATTTTAAGCAAAAAAGAATCAGAGGGGTGGGCATGAAAAGAGTCAAGGAGCTTGTCTCTGCCTCTGAAAGGCTTAGGGGCTTCTCTCTGCCCCTGAAAGGCTTAGGGGCTTCTCCCTGCCCCTGAAAGCCTCAGGGGCTTCTCCCTGCCCCTGAAAGGCTTAGGGGCTTCTCCCTGCCCCTGAAAGGCTTAGGGGTTTCTCCCTGACCCTGAAAGGCTCAGGGGCTTCTCCCTGCCCCTGAAAGGCTTAGGGGCTTCTCCCTGCCTCAGAGGCTTCTCTCTGCCCCTGGAAGGCTCAGGGGCTTTTTCCAGGGGCTCCTCTTTGCCTATGAAAGGCTCAGGGGCTTCTCCCTGCCTCAGAGGCTTCTCTCTGCCCCTGGAAGGCTCAGGGGCTTCTCTCTGCCTCTGAAAGGCTCAGGGGCTTCTCTAGGCCTCAGAAAGGCTCACAGGATTCTCTCTGCCCCAAGAAAGGCTCAGTGTCCTTGACTTTGATATCAACACCTCCTTCTCAAGTATCTTAGACAATCTTTACCTCAGCCACAAACAGCAAAGCATTTAAGGTACACATTTTGAATGAGGCAAACAAGTTAAGTTTGTTAATAGTTTTCAATATTTTTATAAAAATTAATAACATTGTCGAGTTATAGTAGAAAATACTGACTTCTGACTCAGCCCCCACTCTCCCATACAATGAGGCCCGCTCAAAGAATAATTTAAAAAAACAAACTATAAGTATATCTTAAATGAAAATGCAGTTATACGAGAGACTCATCAAGTCTAGGGCCTTTATATATAATGTAATCAAATGCTTGTTAATTGTCTGGCGGATTGTACTGCTAAACCTTCATTGGCATTTTCTTCATTGTTAAATATCATGAAATTTGACTGCGTTGTACAAGGGCGGAGGGATGAAAAGACTTGTGCATGATTGTAGATGTAGAGGAACTGACTAATTTAAATCAATATTTACCATCAACAAAACTGGATTTGCTAAACATACCTTGAAACCACCCCCCACCCCTCCTTTTTCTTAAACAGTCCCAATATCAACACTCTAGTAATACAATTGTATTTCTACAATGAAATCGATACAGGATGAATCTAGTTCCAATGTAGCTGGGGAGAATACCAAAAAAATCCTGCATAAGTCTTATGATGATGATACAATCAGACATGGGAAAACACAAATGGACTTTTGGGACCCAACATTAGGACCGGACCCAACAGTAGGACCGGGGTAAAGTAAAAAAGGTATCTGGTGAGCGCATGTATGAGAAATAAATAAAATGGTAAGACAGTAAGAAGGAGATTGAATGGGGTGAGGGTTACAGGCCCTTCATCTGCTTTTAAAGGCCATAGGTGTACAGTTTAAAATTATGTCATGAAACAAATAACATTTGATAACTTGAGCAGCAGCAGTTTTACTTCAAAATCACTTTCCACTTTATTGGCTTAGAAAAGTAAGAAATTAAAATTGTTTTTATTGTTGATGTTTTTGTTGAGGGGGGGGGGGGGGGGGTTGGAGGATTTAAATGAAAACTGAAGTTATTAGATTAGTAATATTAGCCATACGTAAAATTCAGCTCAAAAAAAAAATACATTTCAAAATGGATTTAAATCACTCAAGCTGAGCTGCATCTGTTCAAATTTTTTTTTTTTTTCTAACTCCAACCAGCCGGGAAAAAATATAAACAAATTAAATAAAACTTTGACATCAGGTTGAATTTTTAAAAGAGATGATCTAATTTATTATTCAGTTCCAATATAACATCTGAAATGAGTCATTCATCTGAACACTGAATGGTTGAAGAAGAAATCAAATGGTTTTTTGGTTTTTTAAATCTGATGTCATGTAGCAAATAAGACAACTTTTCAAAATTATAAACCCCAGGGGCTCATTTTACACCAAAGATACAAATACAATCGCAGTGCACAGCCAAAGATCTACTAATGCATTGATTTCAATTTTAGCAGTCTGCTTTTACATGTGAGCAGTAAAATACTAACCACAGTGACAGCCTGACAAGACTATGCACAGAAGAACGATAGAGGAATCTCTAATCTCATGTTTGTCTCTCATTTTCATTGGCAGCTTATTTCAGCTTTGAGGCAATGATGAGGCTAAAAGGAAATAGTTTAAAAGATAATTTTTTTTTGGAAAACTTATAGTCAACCTCACACAAAAATTTGAAGGTAGAATTACAATATCAAACTAAATTATTTTATAATGTGAATTTTTTTTTTAAATGCCCTTAAGGGTCTCATTTATTATTAACAGACGTACAGCTTTTTAACTTCCCCCACAAAAGACAATGGATTAAAAAAAAAAAAATAATCTAAAAAATTTTTAAAACAACTTTTCTATGATGATAAGGTTAGTGAAATTTTACCTTAACATGAAACTAAACAGAAATAATCTCAGCTTTAAAGTAAAGCTTCAAGTTAGAAAAGTACCCGACCCGCCCACACCCTTCTTTCACCCTGTAGATGATATTTCAAAATAAATGTCAATAATAAACTAATAATAATAATAATTAAAATAAACTAATCATTTAAAAACCTCAACTTTTTTTTTTTAAGCCATTCAAAAGCAATCTTAATCTTCTTAGTCGCTGTTCTCAGGGCAGTCAGACCCTTCCCCACGTTTTTTTTTATTTCTCGGAACCCAATCCACAGATAGTCAGTACCTTTTTTGGCTGATCTATGTCAGGAAAACTAAAAAAACAAAAACCTATGTACACATTTTCTTAATAATACACAGCCAATAAAAATAGAAACATATTCAATAATATTCAATGAGACTGAGAAAATAAAAAATAAATGATCAAAGGATTCACTAATTAGATTATGTTATAAGTTATACTATATAAAAACAAAATAAAAATGAACATTTTTTTCACAGATCTTTCCTCGGCTTTCTGTAAGCTCGGTTGTGTCCCTTATGTTGAGAATCACCATTGTTGGCGCCAAGAGTGCATTGGCTCATAGCAGTGATGGAAAGAAAAATCAACACACATATGATCTAAGTTTATTGGTCATCGCCGGCATCAGGTTGCTGTGGGTTCAGGCCCCTGTTGAATCCACCACCAGCTTCTGGCAAAGGGTTATAATCTTCCTGATTCGGGGCTGGATCGAGCAACATTTTCCTGAAAAAAAATGTGTTTGTTGTAATGTAAAACACATACGTGAAGGACAGCGGAATGTGGGGGCATTTTAGAACACACATATAAGTAACCACAAAGCTGAAGAAAATAATTTTACCTGTCTAGGAAGTATAGTTAGTCAGGACAGCGGATCCGATGCAGATTTAATGTAAGAATACAGCAGGCAATATGAACTTTTGCATTACTTAAAAAATACTTGGAACTCTAGGCAAAAAAGGAGAAAGACAAAATCTAGAATGTTTAACTCAAATGTTAAGTTTGTCTGCTAAATGGCTCAGAAATCTGGAGATCAACCAAGAAAGATTGGAAAAGACTGCAAACCTTTTTGAATAGTTGCCTTCATGAAATCCTCAACATCGAGTTGTTCCAAAAATAAAAAAAAACCAAACACAGCAGTGAGGAAAATGAAAGCATAAACCCTTGTGGAACAAGAAATCTGGAAAATTAGGTATTGGACATTGATATCTCACACTGAGAAAACCCATGCCAAACGTAACAAGACAAGCACTGGCACCGAAACCCTCAAGAATCAAGAGGACCAAGAAGACCCCAAAAATTCCTGAAGAAGAGATGTCAAGAAAGACAAAGACTGAAAAGAGTTACAGAGAATGTAAAGCTTGCCATGAAATTGTAAATAGCACTATTTGGAGCTGAAAGGGCAAATAAGAAGAACAAAGCCCAACCCAAAATATTTGTTAAAATTTAAACTACCAACTGTCTACCAATTATGACAAAATGGCCATTGAACAGTGTATGCTCCTCAAAGGGGGAGCACTCATAATTTTTTTTATCTTCTCACCACCATTTGAATATGAAGCTTAAAAATCTCGTCAACGCCATTCGGGATTGTGTGGATGTAAAGTGTGTAATAGAAAAACTTACAAGAAATTTGGTGTCTTTAGGACTTTGAAACCTCCTGGTGTTTGCTGGGGGAAGACATCTTCAAGGAAGAAATACACATGGCCTATAGCTATACCTGCATAACAAAACCAAATACATTATCCATTGAAACTTGAAAGACTTTCAAATCATCAATACTAAGTGTAATACTAAAAAATATTGAAAAAAATGAGTGATAAATAAAGAACACAATTGTTCAGATCTTTAAAAAAAATTAAAACGATAAAGAACGCTACTGTTCAGATCTTTAAAAATGTTAACACTGACACGCAACGAAGTGCTAGACAGAGATTACAGTCCACTTTAGTACAAGTTTTGCTTACCCATAAGGTCAATAATGACAGAGTTGCCCAGCAACAGTGAAAATCCTAAAAGTACCCATGGAAGAAAAGGTGCCTGAAATGACATAACAACAGAGACCATCTGTAACTATTGAATTTTCGAATGACACCAACAAGTTACATTTACACAAGCTTATCCTGACCTATGGCACACTGACACCACATGGCATGAACGTCATGTCTCTTTTCACATGACCTTGGTTACACAATGTATCAATTTTAAATTATATTGAGCTGTAGCCCATTAAACCGAGCCTGAAAACCCAAATGCAGTCGTTGAGGCAAATTTTATATTTATTAATAATCTGTATTAAGATATTATGTTTAACTTTTTCCACAGCTGAAAGTCTATGGCTGTATTGAACAGATTCAATATGCATTCAAAACTCCCCCCTGGGGCCATGACAAAACCATCTAACCAAAAGTTATCAGGTTTCTAATCAGAACTGATCAGATCATGTGACTCACCTGAAAGTTCATGAGCCCAAAAAAGTTTAAGCGTATGTATGGATTTCGTCTACTCCAGACGTAAACAAGCATAATTGTAAATGCACTCCCTAGAAAAACTAGATTTACAAACAAAGCTATAATCTGATAATGTGTTAAGGTAATAACAGGTGATTATACTCAAACGCCTTCTAGCTCAATATAAAAATTAACATTCGGGCAAAACTTTAAAGAGTGAAGTATTAAAAGAGACACAGTGGTTTAATTGTGTTTTTTTTAAAATCAAGGATACAATCATAAAAAATCCGCCAAAAATAAACATGAAGAAAAAATCTGCAGTCCTGCCTCTGAAGGAGCCTTCCTCAAGCATTCGACAATAGCGGTATGCAAATATAATGTTAAACAAAAAGTTAAATCCGATGGGACCAAAATATAAGAAACTTGTGACAAGCCTCCACAGCTGAAAGGGAAAATAAAACATTTTTAATATGAAAATATTGTGTTATGTAAGTTATATACTATAAATAACATATAGGCAGGAACTTTGAAATAAAATTTAAATGTTTTCCGATTGCCATTTATGATACATCATTTTAAAGGGCCGGCTATCAGCTTTATAAAAACATCAATTTCATTTTTCTAGCTTTTATAGAAGTGGAGTTATTTTTTTATATATTTTTTTGAATCTTTTTTTAAACCCCCCTTTTTTTATCTTTGTATTTAACTATAAAAGACTTTCCAAATTTCTGCCCTATTTTACCCACAACTTTTTTAATTGTAAAAGATAATGTCACCAAATTTTCAGGAGACATTCTCAATGCAGTAAACAAAACAATGGAAAAAAAACCATTTACGTTTACGATTAAAATGATATGATTTTCTTATTCATCTTAAATTTTAGATATTAAGGAAATCAAGGGACTTAGTTTTTAAGAGCTTGGATTCAATAAAAGTTAAGAATCAGTGTCCATGACAACTTTAGAGATACCTGTATTTTACAAATAAGAAGTAGGCCTACATTATATATATGTATCATTCTTTATAAAATAATAATTCCTGGATATATATATAAAAAAAAAAACTCCAGGCCTCATAACTTTAATGTCACGGCTCTATAAAACAATATTTACCTAAAATTGACCAAAATTCCAGAGCTTTTGTTACAATAATTTACCCCAACACTCAGCTTTCAGATTTAAGGATAGACCCAACACAATTTACAAAAAGAACAGGACCGCTATATGAAATAGATTACTCACCTGATACTTTTGGAATATTAACTCAGGATTGAAGTAGATCTGGAATGGGTTGATCAAGTCTAGTTGCTGTTTGGAAAATACACAAAATGAATTAGGCCTATTATTTTAAATCAATTAAAATATTCTTATAATAAAATTAATATTGATTTTGCAAAGTCTAATTCTAGGCCAATGTGATTATGATACTTTATTATATATCTGATATCAGCATTAATAAAGGTTAATTTCCCAATAATTTTTACACCAATTTTTTTCTCCTTAAGGCTGCCATCATTGTTGCTATGACGGATGATGTGTCATGGCAATAAAGATGGCGGCTATGTAAAATAAAGTAGTGCAATCATATGTCTGTTAAAATGAGGAGGGGAAAGGGAGAGAATGGGTTGTTTTTAACTACTTATCAAAAGAAATAAAAATAGGAATTTCATGAGAATACTTCAGCTGAATTAGTTTTTTTTTTAAATTAGCAAAACACATGCAAATATAAATAATTTTTTTAGAAAAACTTTCAAACCTAAAATCTACAACTCTATGTAATGTGAATACTAAGTCAGTATTCCTAAATCAAGTGTAAATAATTCCCCCTCCCCCCACCCCCCCAATAAAATTGAGAGCAAATTTACCCCTAAATTTAATCCCCACTAAACTGAGTGTAAATCTTCAAACGTAAAATCTTTGACCTAACATGAACCCTAGACTATGTGTTTGTGTGCTACGACAAAAGTTAATAAATGTACTAATATAATAGTAAATTTGAATAAAAAGACTAGAATCATTTTTTTAAAACTATAAAATTAATGAAAATGCAACTCACAGTTACACTGAATACACACTTTATAAATCCAAAAGATATCAGCAAAGTCAAAATCCCTTTTTCAAAATAATCAGATGGTCAGACAAGGAAAGAATAGCCTCATGTTTTAATATTATAATTAACCACACCATGAAATATTAATTTTTAAAACAAATGAAAAAATCAATAACATTTCATCTGCCTATTAAGTCTCTATAAACAATCCTCAAGTAAAAAAGTGGTGCAGATTGCGTAAATTGATCATAAAAAAATACCGGTCAAAAAGACAGGTTAATAGTCTAAATAGTATGATTTTAACATGAACAAAATTAGTTGGCTTATGTGCGTATAGTGCACCACTTTGAGTTTTTGTGTATTTCTTTTAATTTTTAATACCAGTATGTCAATGGAATGTTGTACATTAATATTTCATTGGGTGGTTAATTATAATTTTAGAACGAGGCTAATTTTTTTGCAGTATCATGGAGTAGATATATATTTTATGACAACTTTGGAACCCGCAATAGAGTATGTAATAGAGTATGCTATGAAACTGTAAGTTTGGTTTTCATTATTTAAAAAATATTTTGTATATTGTTTTTCTTCATTGTTACACTTTTCACACTTGTTTTAGTTGAGGAAAGGGAGCGATCAACCACAGGTCATTGACACCTCTGTCTCAATATCTAGAAAGATACAATAAAGTTGCTATATTCATCATGAAATTAATGTACCAGCTGAAATTACACTAGGAAAGGGGGCAACCGTAGGTCGTTGACAACTCTAGCAGCATATCTAGAGGGGTACAATAAAGCTGCTAAATTTGACTTAAAATTGATGTGCAGAGTCACCGGGTGAAATTACGCCATGAAAGAGGGCACTTCTTCCAGAAAAGAATACAATAAAACTGCTATGTTCACCACGAATTTAATGTACCGGCTAAAATTATTTCATTAAATGTTATCGTTTAGTTCCTATATTCGTTTTTCTCAGTTGTCAATAAGTAGCCGTAGCTACCTCTATAACAGCACATTTTTTCTCTTTGTTCTCCCCATTTTATTTTAAGCAGACATGTTTGCACTTTTTTTTTTTTTTACACTGCCGTCATTTTTTTTTGACATGACACTGTTGTGGGAATTGAGTGGCACGCAAAAAAAAACAAAACAATACTACATTGTTATAATTAAATGTTGTATTATAATTACGAAGTGTCTACACGTCCGGCACGCCGGACAAATAGTGCGCGAGATATACGTCCGGCGGCATGTCATGTGACCGCTGGACGGCTAGTAGTTGTTATTATTCTGAACGAAGTGCAATTAGGCAGATATTGTGTGGTCTTGTGGCAGAGTGGTCGCTTGACGTAATTATTATTTGAGGATCAATACCTGGAATAGGATTGTTTTTTTTTTCCATTTTAATTTAAAATATTTTATACTATATTTATAGTATAGTATCATGTTCATCAGCAATAGTAGTTTCATGAGAAGTTTTAAAATATCTTGTAGCAATTGAAACAATTTAAAATGAAATCTTTTACTTTTATTGGTTGTCTACTCCACTGGCCCCTAATTTATTTTATTTGATTACTGGTACACAAACTCAAATAACAAACTAAACAAAAATGTTTACAAGCCACTTTCACTTAAGTTTTTTTCTATTATTTGCATTCAAGATACTCAGTACATTACTTAATAGAGAAATAGATTTTAAAATTAACAATAGTTTTGAATCATTCGCATTCACGTGACAAGGCTGACCGACAAGATATCTCTCACCACTTTGTTACAGCGGTCATGTGACTTGGTCGCCGGACAAATAGTGCGGGAGACTATTGTTAATTTTAAAATCTATTTCTCTACCAAGTAATGTACATCTTGCATGCAAACGATAGAAAAAAACTGAAGTGAAAGTGGCTTGTAAACATTTGTGTTTAGTTTGTTATCTGAGTTTGTGTATCAGCAACCCATAACATAATTAGGGGCCAGTATTCAGTATGGAGTAGGCAACCAATAAAAGTAAAAGATTTTAAATTGTAAAGTAAACATTTTAAATTTTTTAAATTGCTAAAAATATTTTAAAACTTCTCATAAAACTACTGTTGCTGATGGACATGATAATATAAATATAATATAAAATATTTTTATATGGGGGAAAAAAAGAGTTCCGATGCGGCGAATCGATCCACAAATATAATATCATCAAGCGGCCACACTACCACATGATCTTCTTAGTAACTCCTCGCTTTGGAATAATAACGCCTACTAGTGATCCGGCTGTCTCGTGACATGCTCGCCGGACGTATTTCTCCCACACTATTTGTCCAGCGCGCCGGACGTGTAGACACTTCGATAATTATAGGCCTAAATTAAATTTAAATGTTGTAATTTAATTTAGGCCTACCCGCTACCCCCATATTTTTTAATTGATTTTAAGTTTAGCTCACTTAAGTCTACTTTGTCCATGATTATATAAATAATCTTCTTCTATATATTAAGGGCCCACGGCAAATTTATTGATCATTTTGATTTTGGCTCCTGTGCATGTAGAGGGGATTTGCAATGTTTCTGTGCCTGGTGTTGTAAATAGTAAGCTAGGAATAAGATTATCGGTTGCAATGAATTGTAATAGTAATTTGAAATTGAATTTATTTATTAAAAATAATAGTATTTTTTTTATCAGTATCACTAGTACTAGTATCAGTCAGTGATGTCACAGTGACAGCAGTTTTCAACAACTTACTACTGCTAAAGTTGTAAGAACGCAAGCAGTTGTGTAAGCCCTCGTCACAGGGGGCATTTGCATATATTCCTGCTGGAACGTCTGTGCAGCCATTTTTAGATTTTAAATTAACCATAGACTTATTTTATTCAGATTTTATGTGTTGCAATGTGCTAAAGATCGAGTGATTTTCGCGTCAGCTGTAGTTTTCATTGAAACACGTGTAACACGCATGCGTGAAACACCGGAATATAAACACATTTTCTTTTTTAAAACATTTACATAAGAGAGTTCTTTTTTTTTTTCTTCTTTTTTTTTCTTCAAAAAATAACTTAAAAACAACGAAGTGGCTATAGGTACCCGGCAGGAAATGGCTATTCGGACCCGGCTGGTCACGTGAGGTCTACCTTATAATTTGGTTGGACACGTGATGGTTATGACGGATATTTCCTGTTGGTTTGACGGTTTGCCATCTTAGTTAGAGCCATTATTATCAATCGAGAAATGTACAATTTTTGAAGACTTTCTGTGGCCCTGAAGAAATACGAAGAACAATGGGAGGTACAGCTAAAAGCAAGTAAGAATACGTTTATGTTTATAATTTGATTGTATTTTTTAATTCTATTTTAAATATAGTTCTATGATCATTAACATGACATCAATCAAGATCAAAGTTGTTTTGGGCGGCAAATCGGCTACTGTCTTATCTGTAATTGTAATGAAAAATTTGGCTGCGGCCATTCGGACCCGGTATCAGAAGTCGATACTTCAATTTTAATTTACCGCAAAAATTATTATTCACACTTCCCATAAAACAAATGTTCTTTTGAATAAAAAACACTAAATTCGGAGAGATCAGCCCGCGGCCGCCATCTTGGTTATCGTGACCCACGAACTTATGTCGCTAAATGAATCCCTAAACCTAACCTGAACCCTAAATGTAATCCTAAACCTAATACGAACCCTAAAATGTATCCCTAAACCTAACCTGAACCCTAAATTTATCCCTAAACCTAATACTAATCTGAACCCTAGGCTAATTCACTGCAACTGTAATAAACACACAAATGACGTCATGGGCTGATCAATCTGAATTAACCTAAAAGAAGGTAAATTAAAAAATTATTATACATTATTTCACATTTCTATTAAAACACTTCACCACACTTCCAATAAAACAAATGTTTTTTTTGAATAAAAACATGCATAGGCTACTTCTTTAAAGGTCCTCTGCTACTGAGGTGGCCAAAATTGAACAGTATCGTCTAGAATGTCGTTGAAGACTTAAAAACCACTTACTTAACACGTTGATGCCACATGAACTCACACATATACAAATTGAGCATATGTCTGTGTCTGTGTGCCAGTGTTGCGCTTGTTTCTCTCTTTACTTTTGCAGATTTCCACAAACATTCGATGCTTTGGGTATTGGCAATTGGCACCTCAGTTTGGATCCAAAAAGTTAACAGAATGAATGACCATTTGATGAGTCAATCCCGGAGCGGTGCCAATTGCATTATATGCTCTCCATTGATCTGACATGACTGTTGTGCCCAGCAGGATGTACGCTGTGATTATCGGCATAAGTGTAATGTGTAGCTGCTGATCTATCTTGTACACAAAACATGAAACACTCACTAATCTCTTGACAAATGCCTCCAGAGACCCATTGTTGTTGCAAAACTCGCCAGACATGATTTTTTCTGCATGTAAACAGACTCGTCGATTTCAACTGAGAATAAACATGACTTACAGGTGTAAATTATGTGAATTTTTTGATGGATGAAGCATGAATGGATCCTAACACATGTATTTTGGGAAATAAGGCCCATGGAGGCCCTTCAGACACCCCTGGCACAGAGTTCTACTCCATTTCTTGCCCTCTGGGTACTTTTTGGTTACTTCAGACAGGGTGGTCCTTTTCACCGTTGTGCATCCAATTATGGTTTATTTGAGCTTGGTGTTGCTGAGAAAGTTGTCTGCATACTTATTAGTTATTATTATTATTCTCTCTGACAATCATTTTAATGAGATATTGTGTAAAAATTAGCATAAGTACTCAAATGGGGTGCTTATCCCATGAGACATATTTAAAGGCTCTACTTTTTTTAAAAATTCATGGGGGTCATCTCTATCCAATTCAGAACCCCTAATCCAAGGATTCACAACATTATCGTAAACTTAATCATTTTGATTGTCTTCATTACTTTCCTGATTGTTTTTGTCAGTGTCAGATTCACTGCTAGACAGTGAGAAATCAAGAGGGTTACGTCCCAAGAGGGTTAACGAAAAAGCTTTCGGGTGACCAGCTCACCTACCAGCAATGCTGCTAGTACATGAATTTCAAATATCCTAGTCCAGAGTTTCCCAAGCGTTTTGGAGTCACAGCACCGTTGCTGCACCCACGTCTTTTCAATTTTGCTCTATGCCACATTCTTTGTGCACTGTAAAATAGCACTTTTTAAACAATCTAATCCATTTTTTAAACCTTATACAAGAAGAAATACCTCAATAACTTCACTTGACTCTGTCAAGACAATATTTAATTGATACAGCATAGACGCTGCACAAAACCAACTGCTACTTTAATAAGTACACAGAGTACCAAGTAGGTTGGAGAACTACTGAAACATACCAACTTAATTTTAAATGGCTTGCATTAAGTCCATTAATTTTTTAACACTTAGGTTGCAGCAGGACAAGTCTGGGAGCCTCTGTCCTAGTCAACTACATGCCATAATAAACATATATCTTTACTGTATTTACATTTTCTCTTAACACCTATCATCATCCCAACCCCCCTTCCAATAATAAATATTAGCATTTGATCCTTTGAATGCACTTTATATAAAGATAAATCCCACTAGTGCATGTAAGAAATATCAAAAGACAGTATTGGAATGGTTAGTTTCACTGTTTAGGTTAGGGTATAGTCTTGCACATTCCTAATTTAGTTAAAATTAGATAAAAATCCCTAAAAAATCCAAATTTCCTTTTGACATATTGAGTGTATTTTTGCTGTAAAAGAAATAATTAAAAATGCAAAAAAAGCTATTTAGATGGATTATATTTAGATTCATCTGTCGCTATAGCATATATTTTCTTTGTTAAAATCATAGTAGTAATGATCAAGAGTTACATCTTGCAGGTTAGAATTATATTACCATTGATCTGTGACAAAAAAATCTTATTTAAATTTTTAAAGATTCATTACTGAAATGCAGTTGTAGTTAAAATCTTGCACTGAGATTGACTTGACCATTTTGAAGGTTTTTTTTTGTTCATTTAACACCACCTTTCTAAATAAAGAGGGTAAATACTCACTAATTCCAATAGTGGTTGGACTTAAACTATTTAATAGATTAAATAAAGCTATTCAACTTTCCCTTGAGAACCAGGAATTTTTTGTCAAAACACCCATGCAAACATGGCTGGTGTAAAAGCAATGATTACACCAAGTGTGTGATTAATTTTTTTGGTACTTTTTATGATGGTAACTTTCAGGTTAAAATTGTTCATAGGATATTGTCTTCATATTAATTCAAGCATGCGCTCTAATATAGTAAAGTTTCTGTCATCTACTAATTCATGTATTATTTTACTTCCAGGTTAAAGTTGTTGTTTTCACAGAGATCACTTGAAGACCCCTGACACTGCCAGAATTCACAGCTGCTCTTATGATGAATGTGCAGGAGGAATCATGACATGCCAGGATAATGATTGGTCAACATTTTACTTTAGGTAAATACAGTCCTTTTTATTCTATTTATTTTTCATTACCTATGCCACTAATTTAAAAAAAGATTTTTTGGTTTAATTTTTTTATATTTTAACTTGATGCTTGATTTATCACACTGGGTATTAATCTTGCAGACCTGTTTACTCTTACGATTTTGGCGTACAATGTACAATTTTTAGATGTCTTTTACGATTGTACGCTGAGACCCGCCAAAACTACGATTTTCAGAGGCCAGGTGAAAAGTATTTGGGTAATTTTCTGATTAAAAAAAAGTTAAATAATTTTGATTGTTGGAGTTTGAGCCCATTCTAATAAAGATCTGGCAGCGAATGGACCGAGAAAAACGATTGGTTGTAATTTTTTTTTTAAAGTTGGAACCATCCTTCGTTATATTATGTACCCACTGAGAGGAGAGGTGGGGGTTTTTGAACAAGGAGAACGTTTGGGTAGGGGGATTTGTGGGAATGTCAAAGTCAATAAAAATAACGTATCTATAGAGCTAGCAGCGTCAACTGTAATATTTAGACTAGACGCCCTAGAGACAACTTCTTACACACACACACCCCCCCCCCCCCCCCCCGTCATCTTCTTTGACTGCGACCAAGAATGTAAAGTAGTTTAGTTACATAATTATTTTGTTTGTCTGAACTGGCGCATTGGTGAAAACCCTGTCACTTTTTCTATTCTGTAACTTCACAATATATAAATAGATTTTAGATGTTTTTCGAGGTTTTTTTTGTTTGTACTTTTTTTTTTTTTAATTTTTGGGGGGTGGGGGGAGATGGGTCCCGAAAGCTCATTGTAACGTAATAGTTGAAAAAAGTGTTTGTAAAAATTTCAAAGCAAAAAAGTACGCCTTCTACAGTGGTGAAGGGGTTAGATAATTTGACTTTTATTCATACCGGTACACGCTATATAGATGCCCCGTCCACCCCCCCAATTGAGTTTATTTGCTTTGTATGACCTAATTTTAAGACATACCGGTAACTATTTCTTCCGGCTGACCGCGGAGAGTACATATTTCATAGGATCTGAGAGGGCCTTGAATTTGATAAAACGCACATAACAGCTGTACTATCTTAATACCCCTCTTCCTTTCACCCATTTACAGTTTGTGCTCTTATTCATACATCAGTTAGTTATCCGGAAATAGGCATAATTGATATTTATTATTTTTTAAAAACAGCTTTTCCTAAATAATAAATCTCAATTTACTTGGTAGGTTGGTTTTTTTTTTCATGATGCCCCAATCTTTTACCCTTTAATTAATTATTATTTAAATACATTTTATTTTATGCTGATCTGACTTCGAGTTTGAACCACGTCAAATTTCACCAGTAACTTTATTTTTAGCAATGACTGCGATAATGTGACCTGCACTTTCACCTAAATATTATTTTATAACGATATCTGATACACATCTGCAAAACAATGTGTCCGTCCCTCCAAAAAAAACAAAAAAAACATGCTTTTTTTTTTTGGTTAAAATTCCTTTTTTTTTCGTTCATATTTTACCATCCTTTAAAAAAAGTAAAATAAAATAATGTTACTTTAAATCTAAGCAAAATTTAAATTAAATTTATCATGTTTCTTAAATGTACTTCCTTTTTAATTAAGT